GAAATTTTTGGATTGTTATCACTAAAAAGTTATTTTTGGGAGGAATTTTTCACACTATAGGAGATGAAGATTTCAAACTTGGATGTAAAAATAATTGTGCAAATAGGTTAACCTGAACTAAAGGACCATAAATGAAAAAAAGAATTACAATAGCAATGCTACTATAATACTTTAGCAATCAAAAGAATAGAGAGCATAGCATTATCGTGCTGAGAGTTAATCACTGCAATGCTTGAAAAGGAGCATCACAAGACCAAAATTCTTAAGATTAAGACCTCAACATAGAGATCATTGCACCGCAATGTTACATTTTTAGCACTACAAAGGTATGAACATGGAGGCACAATGCTACTTTTCCATATTGTATCATGATGACCAGCAAAAAAATTTTCAAGTCAATTTCCGAATAGGACTAGGAATTAATGAACAATTTTTAGAGCAATTACAATGGTGTTGACATCTAGGAAAGTGTCATACTAGGTTTGAGGAAAGTGTCATGGATTTTCATAGTATTCCATAGAGTGTATAAGAGTTGAGTGTGTGAGTGTAGAGTGAGTAAGTGGGTGAGGTTTAAGAAGATGGGTTACACAAATGATTTTTAGAGGAAGGTAGTGATATAATAGTATAAATCTGCTTCATTTTTTTCATCTTTACTTTGTTTTGTGTACATTTAATTTATTAAAATTTTGTAAGTTATTTTGTGCTTTGTTTTTAACATTTTGTTAACTATGCCTAATTCTAGATTTATAGGGAACCATATATGTTCCAATTTGTAATGTGAATTTAGTTAAATAAAGTTTTTATTTTATTTTGATTTACTAAATCCCCATTTTAGAATGGTATTATGGACCTCACTTTTGTGAGGACTTATCCCACCTACTTGCACTTGACCCTAGTCAAGGAATGTGTTTTCTTGGGCCTCACCAACGCAAGTTCAAGCCCCCAACCCTTGGTTGAATGGGTTTAAGGTTTTGACCAGGCGAGGAACTTATTTTGACCACCTTGGGCTAGACATGCTCTAGATCACCCAAATCAACCCAAAACACTAGGAACTTGTTTATGGACCTTAGGAGTCGTCATGACCATCAAATCCACCTTGGGAGATAAGTTTACCTAAATTGATCCCTGACCTCACCAAAGGGCTCCCTAACTCTAACAAACCCCTAAAAATCACATCAAAACCTAATGTGCCTTTTTGAACCCCCTACCAAACCCTAAAAATCACCCCAAACCATAATGTGTCTTTTTTAACCCAAAATTTGATGGCATCTCGGGATGGTCAAAACTAATTGGCCCTAACCCAAAACCGAGAAGTGTGGTTATGGCTTAAACCCAAATTCTCTCCTATCCTATGTAGAAATTCCCAATTGGTTAGTTGTGTAGTTCTCCCCTCCATCTCAGCTTATTTGCAATGGCCAATGGCAGCCCAGAGCCCTGGCCGGAATTATAATTAGCTCCCCTCCACGGCCAAAATGGAAGATCATCCAAAACCTAGGAGAAACTCTGTCTAATTGCTCACAGAGCCTCTCCCAACATTCATAAGCTCAATCCAACCATCTTCAATCACTCTTTCAGGAAATATAATTTTTTTTTTGTTAATCATGCCTAAGGAATAGACCATAGAACTTGAGAGAGAGAGATAGAGAGAGAGAGAGAGGGGGGGTAAGGGTGCACCGAGATTTTTCCCTTTTAGGTAAACTGGGGTATTCTCGGGCTCTTGTGATTCTTTTTACATTATTGAAATTACATGTTACAAGAGAGGAGTCTAAGATCTCCTAATATATGAAAGATCTCACCTATTCATAGAGGATAGGACCATACACACAAAAAAAAAGAAAACATTTATTCCCTTCTTGTGAAGGGGCTGTGCATAATATTTTTGTATTCATAGAGGATAGGACCATACACACAAAAAAAAAAACATTTATGCGCTTCTTGTGAAGGGGCTGTGCATAATATTTTTGCCTTTTAGCATATCGAGCAAGATTGTCACTCGACAGCCATTTGGTCGATTGGTTGGCCTTCGTTCAATTGGTCACCCTTTGGTCGTTTTGCTAGCCTTTGATCAGTTGGCAGCACTTCGGCCTGCTGGCAACCCTTCGGTCGGCTGACAACTTTTTAGTCGGTTGTGATTGCCTTCGGCCTACTGGTAGCCTTTTCATTTGTTGATTGCCCTTTGGTCGGCTGTATGCTTTCGGTGGCAGACCTTCAGTCGCTAGCAGACCTTCGATCGACTGGCAGCCATTTGGCAGCTGGTGGCCCTTTAGTCGAATGAGCCTGCCTTCAGCCGGTTGAGCTTGCCTTCAATCCGCTGGCAGCCTCGTGGTCGTCTAATTGCCCTTCAGTCAATCGGTAGGCCTTCGGTCTGCTGGCATCCCTTTAGTCTCCT